AAAAAGTTTATAACAAGATTATTCTGATTCTGTTGGCCAGCAAATGTTGACTGAAGGATGATGATTCCTCGAATACTAGAGCTGCTTCCTTGACAACAAAGGACTGTTCCTTTATTAGCATTTCTTTCCCCAACCCTCTAACTGAACTTTTTGATTTCAGTCAAGATATTTATAACCCAAATCCTGCATAATCCAAAATACTTGCACACTGTAAATCACAATTCTCTAGCACTGCAAAGCCAGACTTGCATATATTTCCCAGCAACCCACAAGCAAGGCATATTACCCAAGGGGCTTTTTCAGTGCTTTGCCTGAACATTTGCAAGCTATTTGTAGATCTACGTATACGTACTGTAGTGCAGGGGTGGGCAATTATTTTGGGTGGAGGGCTGCTTACTGAGCTTGGCAAGCCATCAAGGGCCGCATGACAAGCAGCCAGGGGCAGATAAATATTAATTTTCTAAATTTTTTAGGGGCCCCGCAGGCCAGATAGGATGGTCTGGCGGGCCGCATCTGGCCCACAGGCCACATTTGGCCTACCCCTGCTTTAGTATATCCACATAAAGGCCCGTGCATTCCTTGGTTTGTCTTTCTACCCCTTTCCCTTCACAATTAAAGTCAAAATCTAGGTGGCTATTTGCCACGGTCTGGATACTGGAGCATCACCACGTACCTGCTCTTTGTGCCTGAATTCTCTCTCCACCCCACACAAGTGTAAGGAGAATCAGGATGAAGGGCACCCACTCTCTTCCCAGCGGGGACATACCTCCCTCCTTCTTTCACAGGCTTGTCTCTTTGCCGTGGTGAGAAATGTTTACGAATCCAATCCCCTGCCTGGGAAGAAAGAGGAGGAAAAAGTGATGCACAGCCATTAACTCATCAAGCAGAAACAGCAACAGTGACAATGTGGTTCACGGGAACCACACCTTTAGGGACATATCTTCTTCAAACTTTCATTTGATATGAACAGCTATGGACCGTGCAGACAAAGACGCAAGGAATTCCTCTTCTTCCCAAAGGATCAGGTCTTTCTGTAGACTATCTCAAAGCCACAGAAGCCTGAGATGACAAAGGGGAAAGATCGCCAGATGATTTTATTGTAAATGAGCCCGTCTATAATAGGTAATTAATGCACAGCATTGGAAACCATTCTTGATTTGGGCTTCACACGCATCCCTCATCAGGAGGTATACATCTCTTGAGCTAAGTTTGCTGCCAGTCATCATCAACCACCAGCTGCTGCTTCACTAGGAACTCCTTTCAATTCTTTGAGGCCACTGAGTGCTAATACTATTTAGTACTTTTCATAATTTGCAACAAGTAACTTAGACCTTGTCCACACAAGAAAAATGCACCAGTTTAACTTAAAGGCCACACATTACACTTTTACTGATATAAGTGATCGGAAACCAGTCTATACCCATAACGGAACAGATGTTCGGCACACATCAGCCGGTTTAAAAATGGCACACCCAGGCAAATATTTGCACCACCCTCCCACCAAAGGGCGAATGTGTGTCCTGCTTACTTCTGATCTAAACTATGGCACTTACAGAAAATCACATAACTTAGACTGATTCCGCCTCAGGCTTTTTGAATGGCTGTACCTAGCCAAATAAGTGTCATTTTAAACCAGTTTAGTTAAGCCAGCATAGACACTCTCGTTTCAGCCCAGCTAAATTGAAGCTCCAAAACATCACCCACAATTATATTATTACATACTAGAAACTCAGCCTGGCCTGTTAAAAGATTTTCTAAGCTTTCTAATACTAGGCTTGATTTTTTTAAGCAAAAACACCAGGTGGAGAATCATTGTGTGTTATCTATATAGGGATAAAATAAGGCTTGCTGTGTTCTGTGTGCTGTTCACACACATGCAGGAAGGCCATCCCCAACTTGAAATGCCATCAGCTATGTTGTCCAAATCAACATCTTAAAGTTTCTGTCCCAGGGTCTAAGTCCAGTTTTCCTAGTTCACAGCATTATTCCCTACAACATATTTTTCCTGTATTTGACTTGGCTTAAGTGACTTGAGTAGCATCATCTTCTGAAGGCTTGTTCCCTTCACTACTTCTGAGCACATCGGCGGTAGGTTGTTCATAAGCAACAGAATGCATGTGTTATTATGGGCTTTTTCATAAATGCTGGGCTGTTTTCCCCCTCTTTCAAACATTACATTTAAAGGACAAACATAAACATTTATGATGGAGTTGCCAAGATTTTATTTAAGAAGTCAGCTTGGTCGGTTCAGCATTTGACCAGTCTTGACAAAGTCCCTCTAAACGAAATGAAGACCTAAGCTGGAAAAAAGAATAAACTACAAGCCAGTTGTGCAGCCATAACTCATTACACCCAAATGACTGCAAGGCCCTGTCTTTTCAAAGACCCATAGTTGCACGCAGGAACAGAGAAATAACGTTTGAGGCGCTTCCTCTGACACTCAGACAAGAAACACGGGGAAGTGAGTTTGCAGCAAGGAATGAGTGCAAGGAAAGTTTCGAAAACAAACGTGCTGGTAAAAGCTATTGATTTAATAATTATCCCTAGCAGGGAGCAACCCTGAGGCCGTTCCTAGGTGCTGTCATTCAAACTTTTTCCAGCAGGTGTCACTACGACACAGCAAGGTTCAGTTGCAATCGAACAAGGCGGTCCACCTTGAAAACTGAATTAGGCATTTATGTCTATCCACCTATACCTATAACAGAGTTAAAACATGCGTGAACGCATGTCGGTGTATACCCACACGTATTACTGAAATCAGAATTGGTTTGCATAGACATGCCCCACTGAAACTACACTCCCTCTCCTTCAAAGGGCTAACAACCAATGTATTTAAAAGTAGCACTGAGGTTTTTCAGTCCCATTATTTTAAATATATTCCTCTGCAAACACTGGTATTTTAGCATCAGAAATCTGGTATAAATAAACATCAGTGAAGTCATTCTGACTGATACCTTCTGATCCGGGGTGCATGCGGGTTAACAGCTGGCAAAGGCTACTTTAGAAAACAATGCTAACTCTTGAATGCCATGCATGTCCAGACACAGAGCAATGACGCTGAAGATTTCTGGACTAAACTGTGGAGTGGTTTCTAATCTTACCCAGGTGCCATTAGGCCACCCTTGGCCTGGTGTCATCATGTCTGCCCCATCTGGGCAGCTTTCTGCATACAAGGCACTTTCCTTCCTAGCAGATCATGATCATAAATCATGATACTTGCCAATAATTTTACGTGACCAGGCCAAAGAACCGTGCTACATGTAAACTGAAAAAAAGATGGAGAATGGAGCCTGTGGCTCCCTCTCTCCCTCATTCCCCCATGCCCTTCTTCTTAGTTCGAAGAGCAACGTGACACTGCACAAAACTGAAAAAAGATAGTCCAAAACACATTTTTGATACTAAGAATCAAAATCAAAACACCGATGCAAAATTTAAGCTGTAATGGGTGGTGACTATAACATACATTGATGTCAATCAAAACACTCTATATAATTGTACCAGAATACATCATAGTGTCATCTAGATTACACTGGGGACAAATCAACTGAGACCTTCATCCCACACACTAATGAATAACTTTACACGAACTGGTTGGTCTCATTCAAGTGAGCAGAACTACTGATATGAATAAAATTCAACTTCAGCATGTCTGCAAATAGAAAGACTGGAGGCAAGACATCATTCAAGGAGGGCTCCTGCACTATGAATTTCAGTCTTGAGGTTATAGAGGAAGATCAATATTTTTCTCCAACGCCATTGCCAGATGAAGGGATGGATAGAGGGGTGCTAGTGATGGGAAGATTTTAGTTTCAGGGGAATCCCAAGTTCTTAAAACAGAAGGGTACTTATGGATGCTATATGCACCTAAGAGACATTACAGAGGCATTTTTTCATAACGACTCCCCCAAATTTGCCGTTTCTAAAGGAGGGTAGCACAAACACCTTTGCTACCCGGTTTTATTGCCCAACTGGCTGGTTCACTGGCTGAGACACCCTGCTTGTACTAATCTACTGAGAACAAAAGAAGTGAGAATGCAGTTTATACATGACACCCCATGGAAATGGCATCCGCAAAAGGAAACTACAGGAATAAATGCAACATGGCTCCCCTAAGCTTACAGCATAGGCCCCTTTTACTTGGTTATTCATACCATCTCAGAGCCGAACAAACACCACTTTCTATATTCAGAAAACCAAACACAAAGCTTCTAAATTACCTTCACTTCCAACACCTTGCACGAGTTCAGCCAGCATTTTAGACTGACAAAGGAACAAGCAAAACACTTTGTGGATTGTATGCTTGGGCAAAGCAATCTTCAATGATAATTGGCCTTGCTGTCTTTCTTGGTCTTGACTGACAGCTGGGCTTTGTCCACCTCCCTCATGTGTGATGGGATACATGACTTCTAGTATTATTTCTAAATGTTACCTCCTCCAATTCATTTTAGAATAGGCTTATTATTACTATTATAACAGGCATGAAAGGAACATCAATTTAGTCAGCAAAATATGTTTTCAAAAAAACAACAGAGGAAGATGCAAGGAAAAGAGATTCCCCCTTTTCCTTCCTCCCCATACACACACCACAGCCTGGCCCACAAGGGTTGCATCCTCCATTGCAGGGTCATCCAGGAAGCCCAGGGTGTTATGCTGGCAGAAAATAAGTGTGAAAGAGGAAGCAGGCCTGCATGTTGAGAAGTGTCATTTGAATAATGGGAAAATAAAGAAGAGAGGGGCAAAGCATGGGATGCAACGGTAGAGTAGGGCAGGAGGAGACGCTAAGTAGCCAGAGACATCTAGAAACGTGCACCAGACATTTTGAACTCAGATCCCTCCTGCTCAGAGCTATGTCACAAACACTAGAACCGCAGCAGGAAAGAGAGGAAAATGAATTTCACATAAGCCAGGGCTGTCCGACTTCAGGTTGGCTGGTGTCCCCAAACCACACAGGCCCTTGGCTGCATGCTGCAGGGGCTCCCCTAGACCCCCACCTCATGCCGTCCCTCACTGCATAAGCAGTGTGATCTCTCCCTGCCCACTGCTGTGCATACCCCCTCCCGAGCTGCCCCTGCTGATACTGCTGAGCAGGCAGCAAATTTAGGAGGCCTCCCAACATGCTGCCCTATCCCAAGGACTCGGACCACTGCCAGAGTAGCAAGAGCAACATGGGGAGCAGTGGCCAGGTGGGAGCCCCCACACTGCATATTAACCCCTTGCAGGCTGGATGTAGCCCAAGGGCCACCAGTCAGACAGTCCTGGTACATAAGCCATCTACTCCATCTCTGGCCGGTCACAGCATTATTCCCTACAACATATTTTTCCTGTGTTTGACTTGGCTTAAGTGACTTGAGTAGCATCATCTTCAATGCCAACTTCTGAAGGCTGTTCCCACCCAATATCAGCACAAAGCAATAGATTATGGCATATTATGCCCAGATGCTGCAAAATTAATTATTCAAGACTGAATGTAAGGACCACAGGATAGAGAAGAAGTTAGAGAAGAAAGACCAAAAGAGGATTTGGTAGCAGTCGTCTAATTTAAAAAAAAAAAGTTTGTTATGAAGAGGATGGAGATCAATTCGTGTCTACATGAACCTGATGACGTTCAACACCAAGAAGGGTAAAGTGCTCCATGTGGGAAGCAACATGCTTAGAGGCTCGGCAGTGCTACGCTTACTAGCGCCACAACAGAAAGTGACCCGAGGGTCTTGATAGACCATAGAATGAGTGTGAGCTGCCATTGCAATGCCATAGCCAGCAAAGCAAACAAAACACGGGCATGCATCTACTGATGCATCTCAAACAAGACTAAGGATGTTATCTTCCCACTTTAC